CATAATTAGGGTTGCTATTCATGAGAAAAAAATAATTCTGCACAAGTTATTCCTCAGTATGCCAGAATGGTAATTTCCACACAAATAACAGTTGAAGAATACCACCACTTGATTTCAGCATCCCAAAAACATTACTCTTTTGAGCAACAGTTACTGATGTTTCCCTTCCAGAGCCATTCCAACCCTGAAAGAATCATATTTATGGCTTTATATTTTGCCAATATTTTTTGTGGTAATAAAGTAAGAAAATGTGAAAACGAAAAAGTGGAAAAAAAAAAAAACAGTAAATATCTCCTCTGTGGAAAGGGAAAGCACATAAGGAGAATGTATGTGTCAGAGAAGAACCTGCCTTCACTGCCCGGCATGCTGGACTGAGGCTGTGTTGCCATGGAAGTGAGAAGCTGAATTTCCTTAGCTCTTGTGTACCACTCTCAGCACTTCTGGCAATGGGTGACAGGTTCTTTCCTTTGTTCAGAAACTGCTCTGGAAACAGCCTTGCCTCCCTCCCAAGGCACTGAAAGACTGCATTGTGAGGCCACGCTGCAACCAAATCATATGAGGAGGAGATTTTTCATTTCCATTCCTAAAATTAGATTCTTCTGTGTGTGCTAGCACAACAGAAATAGCGACACTTGCTGAAAGGGGCCGACTCCGTGGAGATCCCAGTTCCCTGCCTTTCAAACAGGTCTGCTGAACCCCAGCACCCAGGCAGGGCTACAACACCAGGCAGCTTCAAGAAACTGGCTCTCAAATGTTCCAAAGAGGTGGTTGGTGTCAGGAAGGGTCTCTGAGGCACAGAGCACACACAGTACTTGCCAAGCAGATGTTGGTGCCAGGGCATTTGATCAAAGGGAACAGATTTCCCACTAGGACTTTTAACAAATGTACTTAATTGACTTTGCAGTTGCAGCAAACTGCTTGGTTCATGTCTTGAACCATCTTCATGATGCCAAATCCAAAGTCAATATAGAGTAGGTAAGAATGGTTAAAAAACAATGTCTCAGGGTTATATCTGAAAAGTCACTGCTATCTTTGAAGGGAAGCCCTATTTTTTTTATAATAAAGACATCAGGTAAATAGTGTACATCATCCATTTAAAGACTTTCTAGTTGAATAGATTTCTTCCTTGCAAATGCAGAATATAAATATATTACTACATCTGGATGAATAAATCGATGATTGTTTAAAAAAAAAAAAAAAAAAGACCATGGAACGAGCAGAGAAACCTAAGCAGAGTTTTGAATTTGGGCTAAACAATCATTTAAATTTTCAAGTTTCAATTTTAAAAGCTCCACTGTCTGTTCCCTACTCGCCTCCAGCTCACTCTAGACAGATAGGCCTCTGACCACATCTTCTTATATATAAATCTGCATGGAAATTTCATGCATGAGTGTATAATAAAACTTTATGACTCTGGAGTATCTGGGAAATGTTTCAGGGAGAATACAACCCTGTAAAATGCAGTTTTGTTTTCATTTGTAATATTTTTTTTTTTTAAGAAAAATAGAACATTTCCCTTAAGACAGGAATAGAAAAATGCCTGACAAACCTTTGATGACTAAAGAGGCCCAATGTTAGTCTTTAAGATCAATATTGGGAAAAAGTAAATTTGACAATAAGCTGGAAATAGTTTAGTATAATTAAACTACTGAATCTATCTTAATGCTATGAAATGATCAGAAAGGGTACTGTGCATATACTAGAAAAACCATGGAGTCAGTCTGCTGCCTTGGCCTGAGACCTTCCTTAATTAGCTGTTCACAATGATACCCTTGACCTCTGAGTATGATATGCCTTGACTCAAAAAAGGAGTTATCCTATGTAATATTTAAGGTTCTTCTCAAATCTGAAAATCTATTACTATATCCAAAGCTAGTTTGTGTTTATAGGTAAATGTACACACAAAATGGTTGTATTTATTTTGTTTTTACCAAAAAAAGTTTAAAACTACAAACTTTACCCCCACAGTAGGTCTGTTATTAATAAATGCTACTTATGTTTTTGTGGATGACCCTACTTCATTGGATTCAGAAGTTAGAAATACTTCATAGAAAGCAGTTATATCTACTTAAGAGAGTCTTCATTTGGGGTTTATATCAAATTTGCATCATGTGGAACTGACTAGTCTGAACAGTTTTAGCATTATGTGTATAAAGAGATTTTATGCAATCCTCTGAAATATTTTTAAATGTGATCTTAAAATGATGTTCACATTAGTTTACATGCTTAAAGAAGAATACCCTAAGTTCAGGAAATCTTCCATTTTTTTTTTCCAAATAATACTGCATTTTCTAAAAATAAAACTTTTCACTTTAGGATACTGTTGAAATGTGGTGTCCACAAATTGAATATAAAGTACAGTACAGCTTAATGAACCTCATAGGACACAATAGTAGTCCCCATGGTGGTGCCTGGAGCTCTGTGCTCCAGGTCTTTGCTCCTGACCAAAAAGAAGTCACAAGCACTATACTCATCTTGTTTACTCTAGCAATATATATATTTAAAAATAAAGTTTTGACTTTCTATTCACTATACACAGTTTTACACAATGAGTAAAATAAGCATTAAAATGTTTCTTCTTCCAGGGCAATGCTTTAGATACTTTAAATAATTAGCCTAAACTCTAAACTATCAACGGACCTGACATAGCCAAAGATATCTGATATACTTGGGATTCTGATTGCCAGTTGCATCCTTATTCCTATTTACCCAAAGACAAATGGACGTATTTTTATAAACTTGGGAGTTAAAAGGAATACCTTTAATCAAGGCACAGTGGAAGCTCTTATAATTGAAAATCAAGTGTTCAAATATTGAGGCTAATTTATGCAGGAATGTCAGCATGTCGCATTGAATTGACCTTGCAAATCAGCTAGAATGCAGTCAGAAGTAGTTCCTACAGGGAAATCTCATCAGACCTTATTTGCAATATTACCAATAACATCCAACAATAAGGTGCATATGCCTTAATGCTCCCTGGCCCAAGTCAGCCTTCCATAAGGACTCCCTTCACACAGTTCTCACTGCTCTAAGATCCATTTATGGTGTTGCATCCTAGTCTCACCCACTAGCTGTGCTCATGTCAGTTTCTACCTATGGAAGTAGTCGAACCCGTGTTTCTCTCATATTTTAGTTGTAAATGAAAACAACAATCTCCAATACAAATTTTTTTTTGAACTGAGAGATCCTTTGTTATTTGCATATGTCCAATAACATTTCAAACAATGGATTTTCTTTGCATTAAAGTACTTTGACAGGTAGCCGTTAAAAAATCTGAAACATTGTTTTCTCATTGTTAACATCTCTGAAATCGGCAAGAATCTGACATGGTTTAATGAATACCTTTTTCTTTTTGTAATAATAATACATAAGGATGGTGTATCCCACATCAACAAAGTTTCAGGTTCAATAGAACAATCTTTCCTAGCCATTTCTCAGAGGGGGGAAAAAAAAACTAAAAGTAACCTTCCTTAATAGTAAAATAGCAAAATGCATGAAAAAGCGCATAATTGAAAACTACCCTGAGAAGTTAATCTCTCCTAGTCTTAACTATGCAAGTACTATATATTTAAATACATACACACATTAAGTAGAGCTGAGGACTCTTCTGATTTTCCTTCAAGAATTCTAATACTCGCTTTTATGGTTTTTTAAAAAAAAAAAAAAAAAATCAATCTAATTTTTTTTTTTTTTTACATTTGTTGTGCTTGTTTTTTTAGTAAGATGGCTTTCAGGCTATACTCAACTCCCACTCAAAGAGAAATATTACGTGATTTTTTTTCTACTCTCATCTTTTACATTCTCAGTTGTCTAAGAGATGGTGTGACCATTTATTAAAAAAAAATTAAGTATTTTCAGTCAAGGGTCCTAGTAAAACCACACTCTTAGCCCAATATAAAAGACAAAGAAAAAATGTAAAAAGGAGAGAAGAAAAACCTCTACCAGTAATATTGCATGACACAAATAATCCCTTCTGTCATCACACATTCTGTGTCCACGTGTAGTGAGAAGGGGGAGAAGTAGGTTCATTAATCTCATGATTTCTAGGCAGTTAGTTGGCCAATGGAAAGGCATTCTTCCATGCAGTACATGATAGCCCAAGTCACCATTAATGAGCAAAAATATTTTATAAACAGATTAAAAACCCCTAAAATGTCTTTCCAAAGAGTCTTTGCATTAATATTTAAATCCCTTTTGGGATACAATCTTTGACTTCATATTTAAACTATTACTTATATTTGAGGTATCATTTTCCATTCATCACTTATAAAATAACCACCAAAATGCAGAAACAATGCTAGTGACTAATTGCTTAGAGAAAAACCATTTCATATAATAGAATACACTTCTATCTTCTTATCTGTCATGGAAATTAACCTAACATCAGTAGATTAGTTCAGCTCAACAAAATATTTTTCTGATAGCACACAGAAACAATGTTGTAAGTGAAATATATGACAAGACATTAAAGATCCCAGAAAAAGTTCCACTTTACATTCACCAGGAAGAAATGAAGTTCCAAAGTAAAAACTGTCAATTACTGTCATTGCTTTGTTGCACTAAAAAAGATCACTTAAAGCACAAAGAATCTTAGAAAGTACTAATTTGATTAAAATTAAAACTACCTGCAGGTTTATCCCACTTATAAACTAGCAATTTTTTTTAATTTAAATGAGTCCTTTCCCTATATTCACTGAGTACATGCATATGCATAAGAGTAATACTAACAAAGGGACTTTATTTTCTATTTCTCTATTTTCTCTTCCTTTTAAAATTATTTCACCTTATTTTCAAACATCCATATCCTTGAGCATACCACTTACAAATGTGGATAACACGATGGCCCTCATGGAACATAGTCACACTCCACATGATGAATGGTTATTTACAAAATGACTTCTATCATTTAAAGGAGAACATGTAATTGAGACTTTACATTTTAAATAAAAAGCTACAACTCCAAAGACACTGACTAGCTATGAGCTCTGGAAGTCACCCACCTGGGGCAGCATGCGATTTTCTTCCTCCAGCTGTCTTACTCTTGCCTCCAGCTGCCTAACATAGGACAAGGTTGATTCTAAAATTAAAAAGAAAGAACTCAGATTATCCACACAGGTCTTGTTCAGTGCACTGTCAGGATATTTCTGGTTTGATTTATTTAAATCAGACTAAGTGACTACTTAGTCTGTTATTTAAAAAATTATTCCCCAGGAAAAATACAACAGAAGCCATGGAAACTATAAACAATTTAACAATTGTGTACTGGTAAGAAGTATGAGAAGTTTCTAGGTGGTGAGACTGCCGGATTTGCACACCAACCAGCCCTTAGAACATTAAGCATCTTGAAGAAAGTTACTCCATCGTTTCCTGTTCTATGCATTTTGCATTTTCAATATGTCCCATACACTAGACTTTTCTGTAAAATGTGATCTGTAACCGAAACAAGGTCATAATAAAAATGCCAAATACCTTCATTTTCCCAGTAAATAATTTAAGACCAACATTTGTCCTTCTCAAAGATCTATAGATATTAACTCTAATTTGAAGACAGGCATAACAGGGCTAAATATTTTAATTTAGGCTAAATTTTAACTTTTATATTGGCCACATGTGGAATAAACCCAAATTTTCAGGTACAAACTAGGCAACTGAACTAAAATTGATAGTCTTCAATTCTTCACAAACTCAGATGGATGCTGAAAGTTCAGAATCAGCATCATACTCATTTTCTGTTCCATATTACAACCCCAAAGTTTATGGCTTCTTCTCAAAAAAAAAATAAAAAGGATAGCAGATGGAAGAAAGTAGAGCTTCAGTTTTTAGGAAGAATATTGACAGTAACTCTTCATAAAATGAAAATATTCAAGCATGTCATAATAACATAGTTGCAAGCAATTCATTACCCAAGAACAAACCTTTTAGGTATAGGGCAAAGTATGCCACCACAAAAATCCCTGGAAAGCATGTTTCCATAGTTAATACTAAAGTGGCAGAACCTTCTCAGTGATCATGTTCTTTGATCTCTGAATCACAAAAGGCAGGGGGGTAGTGCATTTAAGAGGCAAGTGTTTGGAGCTTGGAGCACCTGATAATCTGAAGTTAGGCTAAATATTCCTGTATTTATGCCATGATCTTAAATTTATCATGGAAACTCCATTTTTATTTTTTGATATGGGAATTGCTTGGATGAATTCAATTCCGTGTGTGTGTGTTTTCAAAGCAATAAGCTAACATTTTATTTTACATAGGAAGTGCCAGCCTTTAATTCACAAATATCACCATTAAGCCCATCTCTGCTGTAGACACAGCATGCCTGTTTCACAATGATTTGCAGAAAGCCCCCATCATTAACATTAATATAAGGACACACTGACCTCATAGGGATAGAGAAGATTGGCCTTGAGTATTCTTTATATAAGAAATGGAAGGTAAGGGAAACTGAAGACATTTGCTAGAAGTTTTTTTTTTTTTTTTTTAAAGCTTAATGAAATGTTAAAACTCTGCTTTATGGACTTTTCCAAAGGCAAAAAACAAGTATACAGCATAAATGAATAGCAAAATTATTGATTTCATGAGTCTGCTTTACTCTAGCAAATGAATAAGTGATTTGCAGATCATCAAGATGTGAATGTAGATTGCCTGATTTACACAGTTTTGCAAGCCCAGCTCTCTCCTCTAGAAAAACAACTACTTGCTAAGGACCATCCAAATGAAAAATTAATCAGCAATATTCTATTTAAACCATGAAAAAAAAAATAGAATTATTTTCTCCTTTGTTCACAATTTATAGCTTATCTTAGTGCCCCTGTACTTCACTATCTCAAAATCTGACATTTAAAAGAAAAGACTCTATATAGCGTGATTTGAATAATACTTTTAAAATGCCACTAAATCTAATTTGTTTTAATTCTGTGACTAACTTCAGTCACTTTAATACATTTCTCTTTTAAATCTTTACAGTTTACACATTTGATGACCTCTCTACTTAAATAAAAGTATTCTGCTCATAAAATAAATAAATGAAGCCAGAGGGCAAAGGCAAATTCTAGAGTTTGGAAAACATCCTCTAATTTCCATTTTTAAAGTTGAATTACAAAAGATCAATTCCAAGTCTTTGCTCCAAAGCATTCACTGAAAATATGGGCTAAGGCAGGAATAGATGAGAAATAGTTTATACCCATAAAATAATGGAAAAATACTAGAAATGAAGGCAAAGGTAAAGAAAGTTTTGAGTTCATCCCCTTAAAACATTACTCTAGGTGCTGTTCTAGAGTTGGAAGAGAATACCAGTTATTGCAAGTCTTAACATGTTTCCAGAATGCAAGTTCTCTTTTAGGATTACAAGCTGTGTGCTAGGTTCCAGAAGATACTGTTAATTATTCCAGGCTCTTAGCCTCTTTTGCAATTAGTTAACAACTAAAGAATACTCCAAATGAAAACACTGTCCTGGAAGGAATAAGAATACCTCATCTGCATGCACAAATCAGAGTACTCATGCTGTTTGTTGTTTCATTCAATAAAAGAGCTGATTATATAATCCTTTAATGGGAGTAGAATAGGCAAACACTTTTCTGAAATATAATGCCAGGTCAGCATTGGATCCCTAAGTCCCTAATCTCCCAACTGTGGAATGAAAGAAAAATAAGTTAATTTTGCTAATTTATGGAAATTTCAAGGATTATTTGTACTGCACCATAGATCAGCTGAGACTGACTTATAACCAGTAATATGATAGGAAATGCACAAACTACTTTTTAAAATAAAACAATATAGGATAAAGAAACTCCACACATCACAATTCCTATCCTTGTACTAGTTCAATGTTAGGAGAAAAAATATGACAGAATCTTCTTGTGGGATAAAAAAGAAATGGAGTCCCCTGAACATCAGATCATATTTGACCATATCGGCTACAACCTTTTCTTTCTCCACGATGACAACCATAGAATAAGCTGGTCTCTCACTACATACAACAAACATGAAAGACAGTAGTACATTGACTGACGTATCTGACAAAAACTGGCAATCTTTTTATCATAAAGTGATAAACAGAAAACTTCATTACGATGTATTATAATTTGAATTGATCATTATATTTTATACCAGGGACTGATAGTTTCATAAACTGATGTTTCAAAATGCCATTTGAACTTTCAGAATTCTGAGGCTGATGATCCAAAAGAGCATCAAAATAGACAAATATTCTGCTATAAACTACACAGATGTAAGATGTGTTAAATAAGGACCCTGTCTTCCAGAAGCTATAACCACTTGGGGGAAGTAACGGGGGGAAAATAAAACTAACAAGGTAATATCAAATTGAGTGCTAAATCACATAGAACAAGAATAAAGATCAACAGGGGCTACATTTCTTACAAAGGCGAAGCCTGAACTTCAATGGATCAATGGAATTATGAAAGGTTGGATATGCATGAGGGGAGTCACAGGGTAGACCAAGGCCAGAAGCTAAGAGTAATCCTACTGCATACAGTGAAGGAAAGTAATCATATGACAGAAGAGTAAGGGACTATTAGGGAGGAGAACAAGGATGGGCCAGGTTATGTCCTGTGTCAGGGATCTGGGAAACCTTTAGACAACTAGACATTGGAAAAGCAAAGAACAAATCATCAACATGAAAATTCAGTGCATGCTAAAGATGTTCTTTGGGTAAGTCTCAGACTTTCTAATAGAAGCCATTTTTTCTCCATGCATCTCACTTTTCTTTGAGCCTATGTGTAAAATGTTCACAGCAGCTCTTGCAACAAGCGTCAGAAATCAGCCGAAGAATTCCACTAGCTTCTCTATCTTCTAAATTATTCCAATTTTAGAGGTGGACTGTATCCTAGCCTTTCTATTCCATACTAACCCCCATTCCCCAAGCTACTTTTGCAGATGAGAGAACTATAGCCCAGAGAGTAGTGAACTTGGATCTTAACCCCGAAGATTTGTCAAACACATTCAAAATATTCCATTCCATTGCTAAGGCACCACAATGATTCCCATCTTAGATCTTCTAATAATGAAATGATGTCAAGCTTCTTACCCTGATAGTTAAACACTAAGTTCTCTTTTTAGATATTCTTAATGGATTTATCTTTATAATCATCTGATATTTTCCTCAAACAATATCTAATTTCATTTCATTTTACCTGAAATGTATTCAGTTGTATAAAGGAGCTCTATTTTTTCCCTCCACTATTGAAAATACTCTGATCAAAATATTAAACACTCTTTTCTTCCCTTTGGTTTCTAAAGCACCCTTTCTCCTACTAGGGAAATGTCCACCTTTGCAATCTCTCATGAATGACCCCGATTACTATATATAAAGGGTTTACCATCGGTAGTTAGAACTGTCTAAGGTTTGTCAAACTTCCAAGTGGTTTTAATCTGCTTGGATAAGAGAACTCTCATTTTTCCATTTTAGAGCAGAAAATAAATCTGATGATGGTCCATTCTAACAGATACCAACCACAGTGATTTTTATGGTGTGGAAAGGAGAAAAATCATTCCGAAGACTATAATAGTCTTATGATTGTACAAGTTTCTGTGGCTAAGAGCTAAGATTTGAATGTCCCTTTCAAGATTCTTGCTAAAATTTAATTATCATAATGTTAATGAGAGGAGACCTTAAAGAGGTGATTAGGCCATGAGGTCTCCCCCACTTATGAGTGGGATTGGTGCCTGACCCCCTCTTGCCCTTCAGCCATGGAATTATATAACAGAATATTCTTGCTAGATGCCTACCACTCAACCCTAGCCTCTAAGCCAGTAAATTTACGTTCACCATAAATTCCCCAGCCTTTGGTATTCTACTATAGGAGCACAAAATGGATCAAGTCTCTTTCAATAAGGATCCAACAACCACAGGATTTTCATTTCATAGGCAATCTTTTCAATAAACCCCAAGCTCAATAGACATGGTTTGAACTAGTTCCAGATTAATCCCACCAGTCAAAGGCTTTAACACATTCCCAAGGAAATTATTTCAGAACAGTACATTTTAAAAATCATTACTGTTCTGACAAAAGTGTTTCTCTTTCTTCCTCAGGCAAGCTAAGGTCAGCTTCCTACTTACAA